GATTATGAGGGGCAAACTGCATTCTTCTTTCACTTTGCATTCTATTCCATTCTTTTATATGTGAATATTTTTTCTTGTTTTACAGATAATGGGACTTGTGCGCCTGTGGTTTTTTGAAAATTCCGACTTGTGTGACAAAATGGCTGAAATTATGCCCTTAAACTTGCAGGCTTCAAAAGGAGGGTTGGGTTAAAAATTAAGCTTTCAGGTTACCAATAAGGTTTATTAGCCATCTTTCCCTTTCTCATGATTCAATCTAGGCCTGATTATGTAAAGTGCCGAGTACCCTCAACTCTCTATGAGTTCAATGGAATGTGAGGGTATTCTTGTAGGTGTGCTTAGTGTAGGCTCTTTTGATGCATGCACTTCAGTCACTATTATCCACTTTGACCTCTTCTCAGTCTGAGCTTCCTCCTAATTGTGTTAGGGATACACTACTTATTCTAGTTGTCCACTTTGTTATGGCTCCATGTGTGTTTCTCTGCTGCTCTTCCTGCCACATTTTCCCCATCTTTCTTTGTTGCCCTCCTTATTATGCTAAACATTTTCCCATTCTGATGGAAGGAGGCATCCTCAAAACGGACGCCTCCTTCCATATGCTATGGAGTGTGGTTCCTTAGGTGTCTCTCAGTAATTCCAGCTCCATTTTGTGACCCTCTAGCTTCTCCTCCAGTGTGAAAAACAGATGTATTATCCACATAAAATTTATAAAAAACACTCTCAGAAGATAAAACAAAGGTAACCCAAATGGTTGGTCGATTCCAGAGAACTATCTGATCTATTTGGTTTTGGTCAAGGTTTTGATAAAATTCCTTTAAACTTGCATAGTTGTTTTTTTTTTTTAAAGATTCTCTTGTGATCTTTCATAGGTCTCAGTGCTAAAATGAAAGTGCCCAAAATCCTAAAAAAATGGAGGTCAGAGCATTACTTGTCTCTTTTGTGCTTCTGCTTTGTTTTCATAAACTGCCCAGTGTTGTTCCAGGGTTTATTAGGGCTTGATTGAGTTTCCAGTTATCTGTGACTTCCCATGAGTTAGCTGTTACAGAAAGATTATGCTATGCAGCTCACTCAAAATTTTTGCAGCCTAGATGGAATGCCTGTACTGTTCACAGATTTCATTATGGCCTGCAGCCATACCACCATACCTCGGGCTGTGATCTTGTCAAAATTCATAAGCTAGCAGGGTCAAACCAGTTCAGTTATATGAGTGCTGTCACCTTCTAAGGAGGTGTCACTCTACTCTCTGAGTTGCCAATAAACCACTGACCTAGCACTTTGCTTTTAGATTTGCTGTCTTTCATCTAAGACAGAACTAAGCTCCTGATCACATGTGATAATTAAAAAGGTCATGGAACTTTTTGTGAGGTGCAGGGTAGCTAAATTCCATATTGAACAGTTGAACTCTTCCTTTCTAAAATTTCCTCTGTAATTTTAATTTCTGTTTGATATTTCTTCTCATTCTGAACTGTTATTTAGTTAAACAGCTGCTGCATGTCCCCCAAAGGTGAATGAATATCAGAGAGTCCTACATGTGTAGTTTGTAATTGGTTTCTAAAGCACATTAGGAGACTTTTTAGTTGAAAGATGCTATATAATTAAAAGAAAAAGGAAAGCTGAACAATTTATTATTATCCTATAATTTCATTGCTCCAGTGACAGAGACTGCATACTGCAATGAGCAACTTTGAGCTTATACACAGCAGGCCACAGCTGATGAGCATGCAACACAAGCTGGCGAGCTAGAGTACAAAGGTGATGTAAATCTCATCTTTGCATTCTCCCAATCCTTGGACTCCTCTGTGCAACTGGTTTCCAATCCGTAAGTCAGAGCAGCCTCAGACTGCACAGTAATGAGTAAGTCCCACCTAGGACTCCAAAAATAATTTTCTAGTGGGGAGATGGCCCATGAAAAGTTGCACGCATTTCTTCTGGTAGGAAATTCTTCTCTTTACTGTTTGCTGTATATCCAGGGCCGGCGCAACCCATTAGGCGACCTAGGCGGTCGCCTAGGGCGCTACAATTTGGGGGGCAGCGATCGCGGCGGTATTTCGGCAGCGGGACCTTCTGCCACCTCTGTGGGGGGTGGCATTTCGGGGCAGAACCTTCCGCCGCCTATGGCGGCAGAAAGCTGGCGGCACTCCTGTGTATATCGCTGAAATCTTTTCATTGTTGTTGATATTGCCACGACAGAGAACCTGAAACAGTCCTATTGATCATTCACAAGCTGTACCAGAATGAGTAGTTTTTCAAGAGCCAATAGTGTGCCTGAAAGAAGTCAAATTCCTTCTCTCTCACTGTATTTCCTTTCAGAAGTTGGAAGTGCAAGTAGTAACTAGGGAGTAGGCAGCACGCAAACCTGTGCAGATTAACTGACATACTGTGCTTAGAAGTGACACAGATACAAAAAGCCAAACCAACACTTGGTTTGTTGTGATGAAGTAATGGGCTACGTAATATAACAGTTTCTTCAAGCTTAAGGTAAAAAGAGCTATTGTGTAGCTCAGAGGCAGAGTGCTCCTCTAAGATACATTTATACCACCAATATTTTACAGATTTTTTCATCTCAATATGTTAACTTGTGTTCTGTATTAGTGCTGATAAATTAGTGTTTCTATCTTATTATAATCAGTAAGAGAAAATATTTCTTCTCCAGTAAAATGTTTGGCTTCACAACACTTCTTGTTTTCAGTATACAGTGGGTCTTTATCATCACTGTATACTTTGCTTTTGAAGAAACAGGCTAGATGAGAGGAGAGGGATAAGAGCATAACCAATTGCCCACAGAGTTGTCCCCTGATTTTTTTAATAAAACCAAGTGTGCTGTTTTGGACATGGATTGACAACACTTTTGGATAAGATTTGTAGGAACTGTGGAATGATGAAGCTCTATACCTTAGTAGGAGATTGATATTCAAAGGCCAGATCCTTTGGTGAGTTATGGTTCCTTTGTGCTGTACCCCCCAGTTGGCTATGAGAAAATATATAATGAGACTTCCATCTCCTTACTTATTAATTCTGTTACACAAACAAATATACAGACCATATCACATTTTGTTTTAGCCAACAATTGTTTGCTTGTTCTAGATTCTCTAGACGAGTGGCCCTGATTTGGCATAAGCTGCTTAACCTTAAGTACGCACTTAAGTATTTTACTGGATAAGGATGGGTTTTCTCACATGTAAAAGTTAAACACCTGTTTTAATGTTTTCCTAACTCAGGGCTGTAACTAGCTCATTCAAGGAATTATGCTAAAGTTTTATTTTTTCATTAAACAAATAAATGGAATTGCTTAAAACTCTTGTTTAACATTTAATAAAAAGTTAGTTAATCTTGGCATGATTGTTTAAACATTGCATAAGTTACAACTGTTGCTTGAAGCATTTCTTTAAAGAAACCTCAGGGATCTGAATATCTCTGTCAAAAAGATCACTGAAAGCAATTAAAAAGTAATATTTTAGAAGATAAATTTCAAATATTTTTCTTATGCATAACTCACCAATGGAAACATTTCTTTTCCAGCTGCCAGACAATTATCTAAACTTTCCTTCCCTATTAATATGGAATTAGAACAATAAAATATGAAAATACTACCATTTTAAACAGCTGTCATGTGCAGTGTCAGTCACCAGAACCTACTTACCATGCTCTTCATTTCCAAAGCTCTTGAGGCCCCCCTCTCTCAATTAGGGGTCCAAAAATCTTTATGGCCATCTGTCTTTTAAAAAATGCATTCAGGCAGCCCTAGCTGCACTATGCTCGGATATGAGAAACTCAGGTCCTAGAGCAATCTTGGAGATTTTCCATCTGAGCTTCAGTGAGGTTGGTCCTGTCAAAGGAGAACCTAATAGTCTCAGATCCAGCAGAATGAGGCTGTGTTGTGTATTGCACCACACCTTTACTTCTTTGTTCAGGACTGTCACCAGCCAAGCACAACACTATAATTTTACATATATGTTAACAAGAGTAGCAGCACTCATTTAAAGTAAAAACAATGAGGAGACCTTGTGGCACCCGAGAGACTAACAAATTTATTTGGGCATAAGCTTTCGTGGGCTATAACCCACTTCATCAGATGCATGGAGTGAAAAATACAGTAAGGAGGTATAAATATACAGCACATGAAAAGATGGGAGTTGCCTTACCAAGTGGGGGGGGGGGTCAGTGCTAACGAGGCCAATTCAGTCAGGGTGGATGTGGCCCATTCCCAACAGTTGACGAGAAGGGGTGAGTATCAACAGAGGGAAAATTCCTTTTTTAGTGACCCAGACACTCCCAGTCTTTATTCAGGCCTAATTTGATGGTGTCAAGTTTGCAAATTAATTCCAGTTCTGCAGTTTCTCGCTGAAGTCTGTTTTTGAAGTTTTTTTGTTGAGGAATGGCCTCTTTTAATTCTGTTATTGAGTGTCCAGGGAAATTGAAGTGTTCTACATCTGGTTTTTGAATGTTACAATTCTTGATGTCTGATGTGTGTCCATTTATTCTTTTGTGTAGAGATTGTCTGGTTTGGCCAATGTACATGGCAGAGAGGCATTGCTGGTACCTGATCGCATATATTACATTGGTAGATGTGCAGGTGAATGAGCCCCTGATGGTGTGGCTGATGTGGTTAGGTCCTATGATGGTGTCCCTTGAATAGATATGCGGACAGAGTTGGCTACGGGGTTTGTTGCAGGGATTGGTTCCTGGATTAGTGTTTCAGTTGCGTGGTGTGTAGTTGCTGGTGAGTATTTGCTTCAGGTTGGGGGGCTGTCTGTAAGCGAGGACTGGCCGGTCTCCCAAGGTCTGTGAGAGTGAGGGATCATCCTCCAAGATAGGTTGTAGATCCTTGATGGTGCGCTGGAGAGGTTTTAGTTGGGGGCTGAAGGTGATGGCTAGTGGCGTTCTGTTACTTTCTTTTTGTGCCTGTCCTGTAGTAGGTGATTTATGGCTCTGTCAATCTGTTTCTTCACTTCTCAGGTGGGTATTGTAGTTTTAAGTATGCTTGATGGAGATCCTGTAGGTGTTTGTCTCTGTCTGAGGGATTGGAGAAAATGCGGTTGTATCTTAGGGCTTGGCTGTAGACAATGGATTGTGTGATGTGGTCTGGATGAAAGCTGGAAGCATGTAGGTAAGTATAGTTCTGGTCCAAAATCAAACAGGTCCAACTGTTTCTTTCTACAAAGAAGGTACAATATCAGTCAAGTTGTTTTGGAGTAACAATTCATTAAAAATTACTCAGATATCAAGCTAATCAGTAGTTAGAGTTGCAACTAAGATTCAATTATAAGCTCTTTATTCACTCCCCTTGTGTTCTCATTTTTATTTTCAGGGCACACAAGGGTTTCTTTTTAAAAGCTGAAGACAGTTCATAAAACTAGTTTTCAAATTAAAAAGACGTATTTCTGAACTTTAAAAGCATCCAACGTTTATGCGCCCTGTAGCCAAAAAACAGCTTGACTGTAAAACTTTTGACTCTTCATACAATTAAATATTGATTCAGTTGGGCTAAGCTATTTTGGCCCTTAATTTGCCAGTTGCCTTAGATAACTAGTTAGAAAACCTCATTATCAGTATTCAAGGTATTACGTATATTAAGACAATTTGCAAATTAAGGGACACCAGTGTATAGCATTGTATGTAATAATTAGAGAACTTAAAGGTTAGCTATACTTTGCAGAGTGTTAGATATTTAAATACATTTTCAGAAAAAAGTGTCATTTTTAAGCATCATGACTTTTAAGAATTGTCTTCAAACTTTCAACAAAACATTCTAATGTGTGGTAACTTCTTACTCAGAAGATTTGGTCCATGTGTGTACTCATGGTCCTGCCTGCTTACTTACTGACAAAGCAACAAATATATATACACACACACAGAGAAACATAAACATATAGTTTCCATAAAAGAGGAACTACAGACATATATATATAAAAAAGAGAGAGAGAGAAATACTGTTACAATAGTTGGCTTTAACAAATGGATTCTCCTACTGAATATTTGTTATTTTATTTATTTTCCTTTATATGCTCATTCCCTCATGGAGTTCAGTAAGTATTTGGTGAGTGAAGGACTCACAATGCATGAAATGTATTCTTGCTATATTCTTCATATAATTAAATTACAGAGTTGGGCGGGGTGGGGGGGAGGATTCAGCCAAGGTCCAAGTAATTTGGGCTTGATCCTATAAAGTGCTGAGCATTTAAGCATATGCTTAACTTCAAGCATGTGAGTAGCACCACTGAAGGCAAATAGCACTTCTTGCATTTTTAAAGCTTTGCTGGATTGGGGTCAGAGTGCTCAGCACCTTGCAGGATCGAGTGCTCTTTTAAATATATCCTATAGCTATTCAATGATATTTTATGTAAATTTGTAAAATGTTTTTACACCACTTTGTATTTCAAGAATATATTTTTCTCCTCAAATTTACTCATTATTCAACCAGTGAAAGTATCCGATTTGCTAACACTTGTCATATATTAAACACGGATTGGCAAAAGTGTGGCATAGATATATTGCTCATTTACATTTTCCAACATTTATTTTGGGGGAAATTACGTCTCACATAACTGCCAAAGTGTACTTAAACTTGCTAGGTCAAATTCATTCATGAAGTCAATGGCATTACACTGGGGTGAGTTTGTCCCTGTGCCTCTTCTACATGGGCATTGCTTTCAGAGCCTCCCAATCTCCTGGCTTAATTCATTCTGGATGCCAAAAGTAACTATGCAGAGTTTCACACTGACTGCAACAATGTGGAGCTTCAGAATCTGTGCCACTATGATGTCATAAGGGAGTCATTAGTGTAACAGTGGATTATGTTACATTGGAGCCTGAAGCCCCATGTTAGTTAATCACCTTCCTCTATACAATTGTGTGAAAGGTATCAAGTTAATCTTTCTGATCAAGTTTAATCCTTCTGACCTGTCAGAAATGTAACTATTCCCTGAAAGTGGGAGTGTGTTAATGGACACCCCAACTAAAGGCAGCAATCCTTCAAAGTAACATTTTTACATTATTCAGATCATTCCCACTTGTTTCTTTTCTCCTCCCCAGGAGTCTGTTATTGATATAAAGGTTGAAGCTCAGGCAGCTTAACTGTTATGTGGAATGACCTTTACTTTTAATATTAATATATTATTGTAAAGTCTATGTGAATCATAAATGCAATTTTGGAATTCATATAAAATGCCATGTGCTGAACCTATTGCAACTTTTCCTCTAGTCCTGTGGCAGGTTGCAAACTGTGTGAATTAATATGCATCATATTCTTTCCCTTTTATTTACTTAGAGTGGTTTGCCGAGCAACTTTATCAAGAGTAACATTATCAAGAGCTTTCCTGCAAGCTTCTTTATCATATTCACATCCGTGCCTGCTCGACACTTGTCACTGTCAATCAAATCGCAATAATACGCAGATGATTTGCTCATTTGGTTTAATAAAATCTCTCTGCTTATTTGCACTGCAGTCATTATGCCACATAATTGCTCTGCCGCTGAGGTGAAAGGCAGCCAGTTGCCTGGGGGATAAGAAGAGACTATTGCTATATGAAGGATTTGTTTCTTTGCCTCTGTCTCTCCCTAGTCACTCATATCCCTAAAATTAATATTGTATTTGAATCTAGTCCTGCTATTCTTATGCAGGCTAACATTGTTATTACTTATTATTTGGATGTGAAGTCATTTATTTTTAGTTTTGATGTCCAACCTGTCAAGCTAAATTTCATTGTGAATGGCCACATACAATTTTTAACTGCCATTTAAACTAGATTCAAAATCCAAATTATAAAGAGACTATGTTCAAAGGAATGGACTGACGGGAAGTATAGCCACAATCGTTTTTTCCCAAGAAATCAAAGTATGATCTGTTGTTATTTTTCTGTGGTGTGGAAGTGTGTGCGGTCTTAGTACTTCATAATCTTCTTTGTATTGGCTGGACACTGTGATTCAGGTAGAGAAGAAAATGGGGGCATTTATGTGCAAGAGCAGCCCTTAGGGTGCAAAACTAAGACATCGATTTCTAGAAATGATGGATCATAGAACTAAGCCCAACTTACTGTTGTAAATCAATGAATGTTTTGTACTCCTTTTTTCTAACAAATTCTTCTATCAGAGATGGAAGAGGAAATAGGAAAGTCATATCACACAAGGCAGAGCTCTCCTAATGCACAGTTAATGTATTAATAATTGCCATGGGGCAGTATTCAGGATTCCATCTTGGAGTGGGGGAGGGGCTGGGTGCCCAAAATTTCAATATTTTGAAATGACTTCCAGGCTGTGCGTACTAATAACTTGTATGAAAGAATGTAAGAAAACATTCCTTAACTGCCTATGGTGGGAATCCAGGTTGAATACTCTATGCAAAGACATTTAGTTCCTCACAGATTGTTCTGACCTTGGCATTGTGCTCAATGGAAACTATGGTGAGATGTCAGACAAACTAAGAAGTAACAGTTTAAATAACTTGAAATCACCATGGTCTGGATGTAGATCTTGAAGATCAGGGGGAGCATGTTTTCTGTTTGGTTTTGTAAACTTAGCCTTTCAGTATTCAGAGTGCTGAAAATACATTCCACACTACATACAACAGGAAGTCAAACAGCTTTATTTGCCTGAATTTTAGGAAATCCAGTTTTAAATAGAAGCTGGGTTCATGCAGTCAGAGAGTTTAAGCCAAAAGTGAGAATTAGATGTAGTCTGACTCCTATGTATCATAACCCATTAACTTTCATTCAGTTACCCCTAAATTGAGCCCAAAAACTTGTGTCTGACTAAAGCATATCACCCAGTGAGGCACTGGGTTATTGATTTGAAGACATCCAGAGATAGAGGAACCACCACTTCCTTTGATAGTTTGTTCTAAGGGTTCATCATCTTCCCTGTTGAAAATGAGTGCCTTATTTCTAATTTGAATTTGGCTGCCATGAGCTTCCAGCCACTGGTTCTCATTATGCCTTTCCCCAGGAGATTAAAGAGCCCTTTACTACCCAATATTTTCTCCCCGGGAAGGTACTTATATGCTCATCAAGTCACCTCTCAGCGTTTTTTTGGGGGTTTTTTAAGACCATAATCAGACTGAGCTCTTCAAGTCTCTCACTCTTAAGCATTTTCTTCGGTCCTCAGATCATTTTGGAGACTCTTTTCTGTATCTTCTCCAATTTTTCAAACACCAAACCTGCATACAGTATTACAGAATTTGTCACACCAATGCCATGTCCAGAGGTAAAATCCCCTTCCTACTCACTATACCCTATTTGTACATCCAAGGATTGTATTATTGTTATTTATTTTTGACATATCACACTGGGAGCTTATGCTGAGTTGCATGCCCACTATGACTCTTTTTCAGTATCATTACTTTCAAAATATGGCCTCTAGTTCTGTAGGTATGGCCTGGTATTCCTTGTTCCTAGATGTTTAACTTTGCATTTGGCTATATTAAAACATTTTGTTGAATGGACCCAGCTTATCAAGCAATCAAGATCACTCTGTATTATTACCTTGTCCTGATTATTCATCAGTTCAGTATGGGTGTGAGCTTCTATGCACCAAGTACACTGTGTCAGGGGCATAGCTGGCTCTGAGCTTGATCACTAGGCAAATCAGCTAGCTCAGCTGGGCCCAGTGAGCCCCCTCCAAATGGTTTCCCTTCCTAACTGGGTAGGGGAGCCAACAATCTGTTAATTGAGACTTGCAGCAGCACAGTGGCTGCACTATGCCTACAGCTGCGCTTACACTGCTTTGTCTCCTGCCTCTGTTATGGTTTCTTACTCCTGGTTCCAACTCTTGGCTACATCTATGACTACAACTCTAGCTTACCCTTCGGCTTAGACTTGACTTCTGACTCCCGGCGCTCATCCCCTGACTGTGTCTGACTACAATTTTGGCTTAGTCTTTGGCTTCTGACTCTGGGGCTTGGCCCTCCGACTCTAACTCCGGCTTCACCCTTGGACTGCTGCCTGATCCCTGGATCTTTGCCTGCCATTACTCAAACTGCCAGGCAAGCCCCAGCAGCTTAGTAAAACATTTTTGTTTGTCATAGGATGGCACCTGCCTGGAGTGCCCTACTGAGGCAGGCTGCAGCATGATAGGCACGCTTGCCTCAGTTTCTTCTTTGAGTCCCCAGTAATTCCATGCAAGCTCTTGATACACTAATGCCCTCCTTGGGGCTGGTTTAT